TATATATATTATTTTTATATAAATGTATTAATTATATATATTAATTATATATATATATATATAAATTTATATATTATATATATATTATATGTTAATTATCAATATATATAATATTATATATATATTATATATATATTATATATATAATATATATTATATAATTTATATATAAATATGTTTTAAAATATATATATAATATATTTTTATAAAATGTATATAATATATAAATATATATAAATATATATATAATTTTATATATATTTTAAAATATGTATATATATATAATATATTAATTTTATAAAAAAATACATATATTTTATATATATATATATATAATATATATAATATGTATATAATATAAAATATATATGTATATATATATATAATATATATATTATATATATAATATATAATTATTATATATATATATTATATAAATATATATATTATATATAATATATTTTATAAAATATATATAATATATTTTAATATATATATAATATATATATATATATATATATATAAATATATAATAAATATATATATATTATATATAAAATATATTATAATATATATATAATATTATATATATATAAATATATATATATATATATATATATTATATATATATAAATATATATATATATATATATATATAATATATTATATATATATATAATATATATATATAATTAATATATATATAAATATATATTTATTTATAATATTATATATATATATAATATATATATATATATATATTAAATATATATATATATATATACGCTGAGGTCAGTGGTCACATGTGGTCTTACCTGCCTAAGCTCTTTGGAGTTAGCGTGGGCTGTTACCAAGCACCATGCAGTGTTTTAGAATCTCAGGTTCAAGTGTTGAAGGAGATACTACTTCTTCAGGAGGAAAATAGGAGGCTGAAACTTCGCATAGATGAGTATGGGAGCGAGTGTGAGAAGGATTTAGCTGGTAAGGAAGGAATGGTCACCAGAAGTGATAGTGGCAGCCGCTTTAAGTGGCAATTGGTTCACAGTTCAGGAAGAAAGAAGATGAGGAGAGTTAGTAGAGAAGATGGGAAGGTAGAAATCGATTCTCTGTTCTCCAAGATGAGTGTATTTCAGTGGATACTGAGGATGAAGGTACCATTGATTCCCCTGCTAATCAAGGTAAGAATATTTTAATAGGAAATTCTCAGGTAAGATATATGGACCGTGCATTTTGTAACAGAGATAAAAAGGTCAGACAGAGAGTGTGTCTTCCTGGAGCTGGTGTTGGCGACATAGTCAGCAGGTTGGATAATATTATGGCAGGTAATGGGAACAAGCCCATTATCTGTCTTAATGCTGGGGGTAATGACATTGGGAAGGGCAGGAGAGAGGAGCTGCTGGATAAGTACAGGTCAGCCATAGAAGTAGTTAGGTCTAAGGGAGGGATTCCAGTCATATGTAGCATTTTGCCTAGAAAGGGAGTGGGCATTGAATGGGTGTCTAGGGCAATTGGAATAAATTGCTGGCTAGACAAGTACTGTAAGGAACTTGCAATCCCATTCATTGATAACTGGGACCTATTCTTTGGCAAACGTGATATGTATGCAAGGAATGGGGTTCATCTCTCTGGTGATGGAGGGGTTTTGCATTTGCCAATTCAATTGAGAGGGTAATTGATGACTTGTCTATGGATTTAAACTGATAGATTATAAAGGTATGGGTGTTTGTGGGAAACAATCAGGCTGCAGCATTAGGGTTAAAAACAGTAGTTATTACCAGGACACCTCAGGGATATTTTTAAAAGACAATATTCAAAATAAAGTTGCTAGTAATCGCAAATCAAATAATCAACAAACAAAGAGAGATAGTAGAGGGCAACGAGTGACTAGCTCCCTTAAGGTTTACTATACAAATAGTAGGAGTCTAAGAAATAAGATAGATGAGTGACTAGCTCCCTTAAGGTTTACTATACAAATAGTAGGAGTCTAAGAAATAAGATAGATGAGCTAAGATTACTTGCAAGTGTAGGTACTATAGATATTATTGGTATAACAGAGACCTGGTTCAACCTGAAAGATAGAGAAATGCCTTCTGAATGCAACATGCAGGGTTTTAAACTATTCCACACTGATAGGGTCAACTGGAAGGGTGGTGGTGTGGCGATGTATGTCAGAGAAAATTTAAATTGTTGTCTTAGACATGATATAAGATTAGAAACATCGAACACAGAATCTGTTTGGCTACAGTTTCTCGATGGACGTGACAAATTAATTTTGGGTGTGATTTATAGGCCCCCAAACCTTGATAGGGAGTGCACTAAGCTGTTATGGGACGAAATTCATAAGGCATCTAGATATGAAAATGTTGTGGTAATGGGAGATTTTAATTTTAGACAAATTGATTGGAACAATATGACAGGAAATCTTGAGTCTTGTGACTTTCTTGATACGGTTCAGGATTGCTTTTTAGAACAGTTTGTGACAAAGCCAACTAGAGGCAATCTGCTTGACTTGGTTCTTGCCAACAAGATTCACTAATTAATAATCTTGATGTTAATGATGAGCTTGGGGAAAGTGATCACAAATCACTTAGTTTCAATATATCATGGAATTACCCAGATAACTGCAATCAAATCTCTGTTCCAGATTTTCGCTTGGCCGGCTTCATGGGACTGAAAAATTACCTAGGTGGGCTAAATTGGGATGTCCTGACTATGGGTCAGGTAGGTGATCTTGGTTGCCAATATGACGCTTTTCGGAGCTTAGTTCTAGCTGCCCAGACAACTTTTGTTCTGAGTAGGGAAATAAGATCTAAAAAAATGATCCCAAATGGATGAATAGATTAAAACATCTAATTGGTCAAAAGAGAGGCATATATAGGCGTATCAAAAGAGGGGATGGGCAGTTAAGAAATCAATATATTCAATTAAAGAGAGAAACGAAGAAAGGAATAAGAGAAGCAAAAAGGGATTATGAGGCTAAGGTCGCAAGGGATTCAAAGACTAACCCAAAAGGGTACTTTCAGGTATACAGAAGTATGATTAGGGACAAGATAGGCCCACTTAAGAGTAACTCTGGTCAGATTACTGACACTGATAAGGATTTGTGTGAAATTCTAAATACCTACTTCCTCTCAGTTTTCACCCAGGAAAATACTAGCGATATTCCTGAAATAATAGATTATGTAGAACAGGATGATAATAAACTACGTACGTTTGCGGTAACTAGTGGCATGGTCCTAGACAAATAGAGAAACTAAAACCTAAGAAATCCCCAGGCCCTGATGAACTGTTTGCAAGGGTGTTAAAAGAATGTAAAGAGGAACTTAGAATACCTTTCGCTAAAACTTTTAACATATCACTACAAACTGGCATAGTGCCTGATAAGTGGAAAATGGCAAATGTAATTCCTATTTACAAGGCAGGTGACAGGTCCTTGGCTTCAAACTATAGACCAATAAGCCTTACCTCCATAGTGGGAAAATTTATGGAATCAATAATTGCCGAAGCAATACATAGCCATCTTGAAAGGCACAGATTGATTAATAAATCTCAGCACGGTTGTACAAAGGGGCGTTCCTGTCCTACGAATTTACTAACTTTTTTCACTAAGGAGTTTGAGGAGGTAGATCATGGTAATGAATATGATATTGTGTATATGGACTTCAGTAAGGCTTTCGGTAGAGTTCCACACCAGAGGCTGTTGAGGAAACTTAAGGTACACGGAATAGGAGGAGAAATTTTTTCCTTTGTAGAGGCATGGCTGACAAATAGACAGCAGAGAGTTTCCATAAATGGGGAGAAATCAGAATGGGGGCAAGCGGTGTTCCTCGGGGGTCAGTGTTGGGCCCATTGTTGATCACAATTTACATAAACGACATAGATGAGGGAATAAATAGCGACATAAGTAAATTTTCTGATGACACCAAAATAGGCCGTCCAATTCATTCTAATGAGGACACTAAAGCACCCCAGGATGATTTGAATAGATTGATGCAATGATCAGAGAAGTGGCAGATGCAGTTTAATATTGACAAATGCAAAGTGCTAAATGTTGGACAGTTAAATAACCATGCCACATATAAACTAAATAAAGTAGATCTTAATACTACTGATTGCAAAAAGGATTTAGGAGTTCTGGTTAGCAGTAATCTAAAACCAAGACAACAGTGCATTAGTGTTCGCAATAAAGCTAACAGAATTCTTGGCTTCATAACTAGAAGTATAAATAATAGAAGTCCTCAGGTTGTTCTTCAACTCTATATATCCTTGGTTAGGCCTCATTTAGACTATGCTGCTCAGTTCTGGTCACTGTATTACAGAATGGATATAAATGCTCTGGAAAACGTACAGAGGAGGATGACAAAGATGATCTCATGTATCAGAAATCTTCCCTATGAGGATAGACGTAGAATTAGGGGGTATATGATCGAGGTGTATAAATGGAAAACAGGAATAAATAAAGTGGATGTAAATAGCGTGCTGAAATTTCCAGCCAAGGCAGGACTCGCAGCAATGGTTTCAAGTTGGAAAAATTCAGATTCAGGAAGGATATAGGAAAGCACTGGTTTAGTAATAGAGATGTGGATGAGAGGAACAAACTCCGATACAGTTTTTTCAGGCTAAAACGTTGTGTAGTTTTTAAAAAAGGTTAGATAAATACATGAGTGGGTGTGGGTGGGTGTGAGTTGGACCTGACTAGCTTGTGCTGCTGGGGCTGGGGCAGTGCTCCCTCCTTGAGTTTAAGTGACCAGACTGGTGCGTCATTGGGCTAATCAGTGGGGCCCGGGGTTTTTGGTCTTATCCGGGGGGGACATGGACCTGCTCCGCATGGGTCAGTAGGCCTGTTCAGTGTTCCTTCTTTCTTATGTTCTTATACTTATATATATATATATTATATATAATATATTATATTATATATATATATATATATATATATAAAATATATTTAATATATATAATATAAAGTAAGTACCTTCATAAATATAAGTGATTAATCTTACCTATGCAGTTCCTAGGTCCCATTCCAAAGGGCATGTGAGTGAAGCTGGTGATGTTGGGTTTGTTTTCCGGCAGGAAGCGGTCTGGCTGAAACTCCTCGGGTTCTGGCCAGTAGCGAGGGTCGTGGTGCAGACTCCAGAACGGGACAGTCACCAGGTCACCGGGATGCAGAGTTACTTCAGTGCCAGGTAGTCTGTTAGTGCAAATTTCTTTTTTATTATGAAAGAATAGTATGAAGCATGATTCATTCTGGATATTATATATGACAGCAAACAATATATAAATTTAGACGTTCGTATGACAAATTCTGATAAACTAGGCTTTGGAGTTTTCATCGAAGTGTGTATAGCGAACCTGAACAGTCTGGCTGACCAGGGTGTTAACCACTAAGCCTTTTCTAAGGCCAAAATACAGTGACATTAATACACAAATCACTCTACACGTAACATATAGAGTGGTTTCCCTTATGCTAAAAAGACCTATATCAGAGTTATTTTCTGTGAAGAGGCATCAAAATGTGTGGATGTGACTAGAAGGAATTGACAATCATAAGAATTTGTAACAGTATTTTTTTTTTTGTTTATGTAAACGATTTTACTGAAGAGAGAATGCGTCAGTTTTACCCGTTCACAAACGATGAAACAACAGTATGGATAATACAAATAGGATAAAACAAGTAATGACATAAAACTACCTAGGATAAAGTGCAGGATTGATCTGATGGTTGCTTACTGGAATTCAGCGACACCAATACAAGGTTATAAAACAGAGGAAGGTCAAATTCTGATCGGAAATGGAGTACACGTTAGGGGACAAAAATAGTAACACTTACTCCAAGAATATGTCTTCATGGAAAACATTTTACTGAGCAAATTCCTGGAGGTACACAAACAAAAAACCTCTGTCGCATCTGTATTTTAGGGAAATCCAAGATTAGTTTATAAGACTCTCACCAAAGCTTCATTTATGACACTATATACGACATAAGTCACACCTGTTTATGATCATGCAGCACCAGGGAAAAAAAAGAAACTGAAAGACAATTTAAAAAAGATATAGCATCAAAGTCCATTACAGAACCAAAATTTCTCTATAGCGACAAACTTATAAGAAAAAAGACAACTTTGAAGAACCAAGTCTCTCTGATCAAGACAGGAAAAAGGCAAATGTCGTCTCAGATATAGAATGGAAAATAGGCAAAAAACACTGAGTTACAAGTTAGTTTCTGATACGCATTGTGTTGGAAGTGTTGAAGAAGAAAGACAATAAAAAGATACTCAAGCACTTGAGAATAATCTGTACAGAAAAGCAGCACGAATTAAGGAGTGGAAAATTCTCTTTGAATAGCTGAAGTTTAAAGACGATCGAAAAAAAACAAGAAACATGGGGATAGATTGCATTTTTTTGGACT